GAGAGAGAGAGAGAGAGAGAGAGAGAGAGAGAGAGAGAGAGAGAGAGAGAAAGTATATGATGGAAGCCCCTCAGGTACTGAATTTATCTTACATTAAAAATAACCCCCCATCTTCCACATGTTTCTTTTGAGAAGCCCTTCCCCTTGGGCTAGAGATTGAACCCAGAGCCTTACAGTCCTCTTTTGATAAAATCCAGACCTTATCAGCTGCTTGCTAATTACCACCCTGTTCAGGGTGGAGTCATGTCTGCACCGCTACCCTCAATCATCCTTTTCTGGGTCAGTTTCAGATTTCTCATATCACTCTCCCCGGCATTCCTGCCCCTTGGGATCAGACTGTTTCCCAAAATACAGGCACAGAGGAACAAATCCAATTCTAACGGATGTACTTTCACCAGAAAGTTACCCTAAATATTAGCTCCAACACCACCAACCCTCCATGTGGTGGCAGCTGTGTCCCTGTAACATGGCCCGTAGCCTAGGAAACCCAGGACTGCTGCAAAGAATGTGAATCAAAAGTTGTTACTTTTACCTATGGATATCTGAGCAATCAATCCACTAGCACGCAAAATAAAATCTGGTATTTTTAAGAGGAAATAGAAGTAGCCAGGAGCTTCTTATTGGGAAGAACTTCCCGTTTTCCCTACCAGCCTGTACCCCCTTCCCCCTTTTCCCCAGGAAGTAACTAGTCCAAAGTGCGGTCAGCTTCCCCCGCCGCCTCCCCATGTGCAAACCGCACCAAGGCGTTGGGTAGCAACTCACTCTGGCATCTGTAAAGCTCCGGACGCAGCCTGAAGCCTTGCGGGGGTTGGGTCGGGTCCAGTGACGCCACAGCCGCCTCTCCCCACAGGCAGACCCGGGAAACCGGCTGCACTGGACCTTGCCGGCCAGATCCTAGCTGCAGCACAAAGGCGGTAGCTGGGCCGGGGTGGTCGCCGCTCGGCGCTCACGCCCACAGGCCGCAGTGAACAAAGGCGCTCGGCCGCCCGCTCCCTTCCTCTCCGCACCTCTGGACCCGGCATCCTCGGCCCCCATTGAAGAGCCAGCGGTCCATCTTCCCGATGCTTTTCGCCCTGATACGCCCCCGCCCGCCCGCCGGTCCTGTGGACTAGGCTGTTCTCTCCTTCCCGCCTTGCGGAGACTAGACCAGTCCCAATCCAGGAACGCGAAAGGCGCGGTGGGGCGGGTCCCGGCGAGCGGTACTCTGAGCTAGCAGCCCTCCGGGAGGACCTCAGAGCCCGCACAAAGCAAGCCCACCGGGGGACTTAAGACTCGGCAGCGGGTGCAAGAGTGTCCCAGTCTAAAGCAAAGGACGAGGGTACAATCCCCCAACAGAGGGGCCTTGGCTCACACAGTAGGATGTGGCAGGCTGGGAGCGCACACACTCTGAGTGGGCGATGACTGACCTCCGGATACTTTCATCTAGGAGCGGCGTTGGTTAAGACTGGAGATCCACTCATCCAGGACATTGCATCACGTAGTCATTTACGAGCTGTAGGTTTCGAATGGGCAGCAGCTTTCAGATCGTCCTAGTTTCCCAGCAAGAAACCTTAAGGGCTGGCAGTCTTTTGTCAGGACCCTCAGGACTTGAGCTTCTGGGAGCCTAAATAACAAAGGAAGGAAACGCGAATTTATATCAAGCCACGGCAGCACAGCAACAGTCCGTTTTAAAAGCAAACCCTTCCCCTCTACCCAGCTTCCCCGTTGATTTTTACCTTAGAACCCAGGTAATTTTCAAGCGGAGCACATCGCAAAACTCACCAAGTACAAACCCAAGTCCCTAAACATCCCAGTCAGAGGTCGGCTCTCCTCCCAGAAGCTGACAAAAGTCTCAAGAACAAAACTTGAAGACTAAAATTCGGTGTAAGTCAGGCAGCTGGGGCGGGGCTCCGCCGGAGACCCTCCTGGAGCCGGTTGGAGCCGGCTGAGTTGGGCCGGCCAGATCAAGGGGTCCTGGCTCAGAGAGGGGCGCCGCTGCCGCCGGAGCCTCCAGCTTGTTTCAGTCACCCCACTCCAGGAGTCGTTTCCAAATCTCACCCCGCCTGGCAGTCCGGCCCTACTAGCCCGGTTTGTGAAGGTGATGCGCCCCGCCCTAAAGTGCTGTCTGTGGTGGACTCCCGGAAGTCTCACTTCATTGAATTAGAGGACCAAATGTGCTTCTGTGTTTGGATAGCCTGCAGCCGGACATTATCAAAAACCGTAGAAGGCTGGAGAAAGGAGCAAACAAATAAATTCTTTATGTGCCTAGTTGCTTGTTTGACAAATGGTATTTTAGACCTTTTGTAAGGAACACATGTAAAGCCTAGGGTGAACAACCCTGGTCAGGAGTGATAAGCAATAGAATGATGTAAGTAAACCACGAATGGAGTAGTGATAAGCTATAAGCTATGTGTGGAAGCAGGAATAAGACTAGAAACCCAGCCAGGACAGAATATAAAAGATGAAGCCTCAGACCCGACCAACAGAGTCATCAGGCCCTCATGAGAGACGACTCTCCTCTGCCAGAGATGTGAGATCCTGTCCCCAGTGCAGACGTGGCTGACCTGAGGAAGGCTGACCCAAGATCCAGAGGAACAGATGTGGCGAGTCCGGACCTGTACACTTGGAGAGGTACTTCTGTTTCCATTTGGAAGACAGGATGAATATTGCTTGTAATCTTACTCTGTGAATAAATGAGTGTTATACCAAGTCTGAATCAAGAGTGATTATTCCTCCCCTGTAACCGGGGTATGTGCTCGCTACACTTTCCTTATAGAAGCATTCAACAGAGATCCTATTTTGAGCGGTTTTGTAATTAAACAAACTGCAAAACAGGACAGAATATAATTAATCCAAAATTTTCAAGTCCAAATATGGGTTTGTTATTGTAAAAAGTGACAAGTTCAAAGTAGTTGCTGAATCAGCTTAAAACTATACATTCAACATACTTGTTTCAAACT